TTGTATATCTGTTTGAATGCACTTCAAGCACACATTTAAAGACTTTACAGTGTAATTTATTGATTAATATTAAGCATAATGCGGCTAAAAATAACAGCACTTGTGCAAATAAATGTCAACAAATGGACACTACTGTTCAAAAGCTTGAGGTCAGCAACAAATGTTAAAGAAATAAACACTTTTATTCAGCAAGGATGCATTAGTGTTATTTTAGCGTAATTGAGATGCTATTATAGTTTTAATCAGGGTTATAACATACTTTATTTCAGCTAGTTGCCAAGGCAAAATTTCTTATATAGATTATATGGACATATTTAAAAAAGAAAAATGACACGACAAATATTTCTAAAACTTTAATACATTTCTAAAACTAAAATTAATTTAAAAAAAAATAAATACCAATTTAAAATATTAATAAAAAGTGATACTAAGATAACCCTGGTTTTTATTAATATTTTCAATTCATTTTTTATTTTTGTATTTTCTGTTTTCATTCATTTTAGTTGAAGTTGTAGTAATTATGTCATTTTTAATTATTTTAGTTTTTATTCATTTTATTTAGCACATTAAGTTAAACTAAATGAAAATTATAAGTATCGGCTTTTATTTATTTATTTACTTACTATAATAAGCCTGGCATTGAATTTATAAAAAGTGACACTAATAAACAGTAAATGCTTTTTATTTTTATTTTTTAACTCTGTTCATCTGGGAATCCTGAAAAAACAGTTTCCACAAAAATATTGTGCAGCACAACTGTTTTCAACATTGATAATAATCAGAAATGTTTCTCGAGCAGCAAATCAGCATATTATACTGATTTCTGAAGATCATGTGACACTGAAGACTGCAGTAATGATGCTGAAAATACAGCTTTGATCTCAGAAATAAATTACAATTTACTATATATTCACACAGAAAACAGCTATTTTAAATTGTAATAATATTTCACATTTTTACAGCATTTTTGATCAAATTAAGGCAGCCTCGGTGAGCAGAAGAGATCTTACTGTTCCCAAACCTCCAGATTACAGTATTTTAAGAGTGCGTTGACAGATGTGCGTCTGTAAACACAGCCAGAGGGAAGGTGATCTGATCTCGCTCTGAACTATAGAGTTTGCTAATGCAAACATCACTGGTATAGTCATGCATAAATGCAGTATTTCAGCGTGAAGCACAATGTGCATCGAGTACAAAATCAGTGCCGGTGAGTTTTGCAGTCAAACCCCACGCACTCTCTGCAAGCATCTACAGCAGCAGTTTACCAATATGCCATGTTTACAAGAGCTGATGTTAATTTAGTCTCTAATTAACCTTTGAGTGGCGCAGCCCGCCGTCGCTCTGATATTTGTGACTCTGAAGTGAGGTTTGCACCAGGGCAACGGCAGCAGCAGCAGCAGCAGCTCTCAGGAACAATGCCACGCCGTGTGATTGAACATGTGACTCCACAACTCGCTTTTGTGCAGGTGACCGAAACAATGTGCTGCTATGGCAACAGTTTTGGCCGACAGACAGCCGACAGGGCAGCTGCACGCTCTGATTCAGACTCTCTTTCATGTGCATTTGAGTTTTCACATGGGGATGTTGTTATATTTTGTTTGTATGACATTGTGATTTAGCTTAATCCGTCGTGGTTTACAGTAGCTCAACTCTTGGTATTGCAAATGTAAAGAATCTCTCTGGATGGGTTTAGCATTTTATTTCATGAATTAAAAATAGTGAACATTTACATTGCCTTGATGGTATGCATTTTTATTTTGTTTTATGCAATTAAACACTAGGCATTTATATTATTTCTGCAGTGTATGACTTACATTGCATTGAAGATATAGTTTTGAATATTTTTTATTAATGCATTCAAATACTAGATTTATATATTATTTTTCACATTGCATTTATATACATTTTAATTTTATTTCATGCATACATGCAAATACTAGATATTTATACTGTCTCTGCAGTGTATGGCTTACAGTGCATTGAATATATTTGTATGATATATTTTATTTTATTTCATACAATTAAATATTAGACTTTAATATTGTTTCTTACATTGCATTGAAGACACACATTTTTATTTTATTTCATGCATTCAGATACTAGACATTTATATTATTTCTGCAGTGTATGACTTACATTTTATTGAAGATTTTTTTTTCATTTTATGCATTCAGATACCAGACATTTACAGTATTTCTTGCATTGAAGATATACTTTGTCAATTTTATTTAATGCATTTAAATACTAGACTTTTATATTATATCTTACATTGCACTGGAGATTTAATTCTTTAATTGTATTTAATGCATTTAAATGTTAGACTTTTATATTATTTTTTTGCTATATTATCTATCTATCTATCTATCTATCTATCTATCTATCTATCTATCTATCTATCTATCTACTTTTATTTCTTATGTTGCATTGAAAATATACTTCAAGCTCTAAAATATTTTATTTTGTAGAAATTGCTTTTTGTGAAAACAAAGTATTTACAACCTGGTGATTGATTGGTAATAAAAGTATAAATCAAGAAGAACGTTCAGTTATTGAATCATGGAATAAAATTTTTTTAAATTATTTTTTATAACTATTTAAATAGATTTTATTTAATTATTTGAATATGTTGAAAGTTAGCAGATATGTCATTAATTGTCATTATGCTTAAATTAGACACAACAAAGTTGGAAATAAGCTAAAAAAGTAAAAATGAAGATTTAGTTAAAAAATCTATTTTTTAGCTAAAATCATATTTCTTTGCCATTTCTATTCATGAACAGGGTCCTCATGATGTTGCATAGCCTGCATATACTGTAAAATGTGTGTGTGTGTGTGTGTGTGTGTGTGTGCTTGTGTTAATATTATTAGCTTGACATTTCTGTGAAATCTGTGTTTTGTAAGCGCTGTTTTGTGAGAAATCTTGTGTAATTGAGTGTCCTCAGGGAAGGGGATTCCGAGCGTCAGACTTTTAATAATTTTGATTGGCTTCTTTCATTCATGAACTGCAGCCGAACAATTATTGCAGGAAATTGCAGGTGCTCACGACGCTAGAGTTGATTATCAGAGTGTGTGTGTAATCAAACACACACACACACATAAACACACACACACACAGTCCATTGAGCGAGGCCTGTCGACCCCCTCGGAGTGTGTAGGTGGTAGATGTGACATTTAAAACCAGTTCCACATCTCACCTGCTGTTTACAGGCCTCACAGTGACAAAACCGCCCCGTGTCACAGAACATGAGACCTTTACACAAGAACTGCAGCCTGACTCAGACGGATCTGAAATGCGACGCTTATTCTGAGCAGCTATAGAGCTCGACTGCCTACACGCAGTAGAACAGAAGAATAAAGTCATGCTGCGGTGCTTTGAGGACTAGTTAGGCGACTCTGTCATCGTTTATTCATTCCACACCTGTATGCCGCACAAAACATCTGACACGTTCACTCTCATAGCGTGAAGGTGTGCGCTGACACGATGCTGTCAGACTCATGAAAGCAGCACAAAAGCATCACAGATGATCGTTTATAGAACATTAGTGCACAAGTGGATTATTGTAGGTTTTGTGGAGAATGCCGGCCTCTGCTTACTGTAAACGTTCATTGCACTGTGACTGTTCTTCAAAAATGGCTTTTTCGCATGATGATGAAAGTCACAGGGTTTTAAAGGGTTTTTAAATTATTGATTTAATTTGTTTCTTTGACAGATGTCATTTTTTACTGAAGAACAAGGTTCTCACTGTAGGAGATCATTTTGAAAGTGTAATTTCTGGACCTGGAAAAGTCATGAAAAGTGTAGAACATTCAGTTATTAGAATTACAGAATGTAGTTATTTATAAATATTTATTATTTATTTATAGTTATTTGTTTTATTATGTATTAAATTGCCACTCCTTGTTTCTGTAAATAAAAAGTTAGAAAATAAGCAGATTTATCATTAATTAAATTAATTAAAACATTAATTAAAAATAACACAAAACAAGTTTGAAAATCAAGATTTAGTAAGCTAAAATTGTTTTATTTTAATTTGTTTCCTTAACAGCTGTGATTTCTATGTGTGAGTATACACACACACACACGCACTCACACATTCTCACACACACACTCACACATTCTCACACACACACACACACACACACTCTCTCTCACACACACACACTCACACACACACACACACACACACACACACACACACACACACACACACACACACACTCACACACACACACACACACGCACACACACACTCACACACACACACACAAACTCTCTCACACACACAGTCACACACACACACATTCTCTCACACACACACACACACACTCTCTCTCTCACACACCCACTGGCGAAGGGGCGGCGATTAAGGGACAGGGTGATGATGATAATTAGGGGGAGGCAGCCGACTCGTCACAATATATACTGAAAAAAATTTAGTTGACAAACTTTCAATTTTTTTTAATGTAGCTAAAATAAATTGTTTGCAACCGCTTACCTTAAAAACATTTTGTATAATTTTTTTCAGTGTGTGTGTGTATATATATATATATATGCATATAGTCATTAATTTTTTTATTAAACATGTTTTTAAACCTTTTTAAAAAAAATTTTATCTAGTAGAAATTGCTATTGCTGTGAATTAAAAAATATCATAAACTAGGGAAGTCATGGAAATTAATTGGTAGTCAAAAGTGTAAATCATGAACAGCAGTCAGTCATTGGAATTATCAAATTAAATTATAATTGCTGTATTTAATTGTTTTAATATATCTCCATTTTTAGTTTCTGTAAATTAAAAGACTGAAAATGAGCATCTTTTTCATTATAGCAGAAGCTTTGTCATGAATCAGAAACATCTTCAAAAAGCTTTAGAAATGCTGGTTTGGAGCTTATAATAGAAGAGCTGCTGGTTTGAGTCAAACTACAAGTGGATTTGCAGAGATTGAGTGTGTTCTTCACAGCTCTTCTCTGAGTGCTGTGCTTCTTCTCCTCTCCTCAGGTCTTGAACCTCTTCTTGGCGTTGCTCCTGAGCTCCTTCTGCGCAGACAACCTCTCATCTCCGGACGAGGACGGCGAAATGAACAACCTGCAGATCGCCATCGCTCGCATCCAGCGCGGGATGCAGTGGCTCCGGCAGGCGCTCTGCGACTTCTTCAACGGGAACTTCAAGCGGCGCCGGCAGAAGGCCAAGGAGGCCAAAGCCATGCTGAAGCTGAAGAGACTGAGCCAGCAGACGCACTGGGCCGAGGGCAACGGGACAGCCGTCATCGAGCGTGCCTCCGAGGACGACAGCTACATGACCAACCCCAACCTCACCATCAGCGTCCCCATCGCGCCCGGAGAGTCCGACCTGGAGTTCCCCGAGGAAGAGGAGGAGGAGGAGGAGGAAGATGAGGCCAGCGAGAGCGAGGAGGAGGAGCAAGAGGAGACCAAACCGGTGAGTGAAAGAAACTGAATCATGCACACTTACCAGGGCTAATTACGTCTTATATATGGGTCAAAGACGTTAAGATGTCCGCATCAAAAGAAATGTACAAAAAGTGATTTTATGTCCATAGAAAGCATGTTAAATGTAAGTAAAGTGTCTACTTTTAAGGTTTCAAATACGTTTTTGGAGAATAAAATGTCAAAATTTGGTTGAAATAATGTTACATTGTCATTCAGTGTACCACAATATGCTTACAACATGCTTATTCTGATGTGTACATAATAAAATATATAAAAGAATAAGGGAGCATATAAAATTTTATTGTGTTTTAAATGAGTAAAAAATTCTTACTGACAAATGGGCAAAACCTAGGATCATGGCACATTTTAAAAGTGTAAAATTACGACTAATTAGTATTTGGAGTGAAAGTAATTAGCATTTTAATATGTCATAAAGTGATTTGTCGTAAATATGCCTGACGAGATTGTTACACTGAATGACATTTTAGTGGCTCTCTTCTGTAAATCAGGGGAAAATGTATGATATTTATTTTTTGCTCAGAAAAACAAAAACAAAATGGCAATTAAATTAAATTAAACCAAAAACTTTTACATTTTTTAAAAAAATAAAAAATATTGTTTTTATGCTTAAACCCTTTTTCGTCTTTGACCCATATACAGTTTTTAACATTTATTTGTTTTTGGGCCATTATGCTTTGGCACCAGTGTTGGGTAAGTTACTCTAAAAAAGTAATTAATTACTAGTTACTAATTACATCTTCAACAGTGTAATTAGATTACTGTACAAATTACTCTCTCCAAAAAGTATTTAACTACTTATTACTAGTGCTGTCAAACGATTAATTGCATCCAAAATAAATGTTTTTGTTTACATAATATATATGTGTGTGTGTTGTGTATATGTATATATACAGACACACACATACAGCATATATTTAGAAAATATTTACATGTATATATTTATATCCATATGAATTATATCATGTATAAATATATTTAATATATATACATAACATATTTTTCTTAAATATATGCATGCATGTGTGTGTATTTATATATACATAATAAATATACACAGTACACACACATATATTATGTAAACAAAATCTTTTATTTTGGATGCGATTAATCACGATTAATCATTTGACAGCACTACTAATTACTTTCTAAATCCTGTATCAACCTCGACAAGTTAATGAACGATACAAGGATAGACATGAAACGTTCTTTTAATTCTTTCAAATAAATAATATATAACTACAGAAATTATTCTGGTCACACTTTAGATTAGCATCCAATTCTCACTATTAACTAACTATTAACTATTAAATAAATATACTTTTGCCCCGATATACTCCTAATTACTGCTTATTAATATTTAGTAAAGTAGTTGTTGACAATTATGTTTAAGAATTGGATAGGATTAAAGATTTAGGTCTTGCAGAATAAAACATTAATATGTGCTTTTTAAATAAAAATAAACAGCCAATATCCCAGTAATACATGCATATAAATACATGTTCACGTTTACAGTAAGATCGTGTGCGCATACAACGCTCTGCACTTACTCCTGATTTCTCTCAATATGGCAACACCAGAGCTGTCAGTCAATACATGAGAAACAAAGTAACTGGTGTTACTTATTTGAAAAAGTAGTCCTTCTAAATTAAAAAGTAATGCATTACTTTACTAGTTACTTTAAAAAGTAATCTGATTACGTAACTCGTGTTACTTGTAATGCATGATCCTCAGCACTGTTGAGGACAGCTGCAGATAACAGTGTCCGGCTGGCCTCAGATCAGCCTCATCCGCTCCTGTTAGCGTCTTCTGTTCGTCTGGCTCTGTTCCTCCGAGCCGAGCGTCTCTGTCTCTTCACCCGGTCAGACGAGGTCGAGCACACAGAGACTAATAAGTAGCTCTCAGGCGAATGTGAATCGCAGTTATGAACGCCCACGCGCAACTGCTATTTTCTCCTGCGTCTTCATCCGGAGATGTTTTCCCTTCATGCATGCCGTGTGTTCGCTGCATGTCATGGACAGATTTATTTGTGTTTCATGTGTACATGAGAACATATTGGCCAGACTGAGTAATCAACAGTGTAATTAGATTACTGTACAAATTACTCTCTCCAAAAAGTATTTAACTACTTATTACTAGTGCTGTCAAACGATTAATTGCATCCAAAATAAATGTTTTTGTTTACATAATATATATGTGTGTGTGTTGTGTATATTTATTATGTATATATACAGACACACACATACAGCATATATTTAGAAAATATTTACATGTATATATTTATATCCATATGAATTATATCATGTATAAATATATTTAATATATATACATAACATATTTTTCTTAAATATATGCATGCATGTGTGTGTATTTATATATACATAATAAATATACACAGTACACACACATATATTATGTAAACAAAATCTTTTATTTTGGATGCGATTAATCACGATTAATCATTTGACAGCACTACTAATTACTTTCTAAATCCTGTATCAACCTCGACAAGTTAATGAACGATACAAGGATAGACATGAAACGTTCTTTTAATTCTTTCAAATAAATAATATATAACTACAGAAATTATTCTGGTCACACTTTAGATTAGCATCCAATTCTCACTATTAACTAACTATTAACTATTAAATAAATATACTTTTGCCCCGATATACTCCTAATTACTGCTTATTAATATTTAGTAAAGTAGTTGTTGACAATTATGTTTAAGAATTGGATAGGATTAAAGATTTAGGTCTTGCAGAATAAAACATTAATATGTGCTTTTTAAATAAAAATAAACAGCCAATATCCCAGTAATACATGCATATAAATACATGTTCACGTTTACAGTAAGATCGTGTGCGCATACAACGCTCTGCACTTACTCCTGATTTCTCTCAATATGGCAACACCAGAGCTGTCAGTCAATACATGAGAAACAAAGTAACTGGTGTTACTTATTTGAAAAAGTAGTCCTTCTAAATTAAAAAGTAATGCATTACTTTACTAGTTACTTTAAAAAGTAATCTGATTACGTAACTCGTGTTACTTGTAATGCATGATCCTCAGCACTGTTGAGGACAGCTGCAGATAACAGTGTCCGGCTGGCCTCAGATCAGCCTCATCCGCTCCTGTTAGCGTCTTCTGTTCGTCTGGCTCTGTTCCTCCGAGCCGAGCGTCTCTGTCTCTTCACCCGGTCAGACGAGGTCGAGCACACAGAGACTAATAAGTAGCTCTCAGGCGAATGTGAATCGCAGTTATGAACACCCACGCGCAACTGCTATTTTCTCCTGCGTCTTCATCCGGAGATGTTTTCCCTTCATGCATGCCGTGTGTTCGCTGCATGTCATGGACAGATTTATTTGTGTTTCATGTGTACATGAGAACATATTGGCCAGACTGAGTAAAAGGCTTGAGGTTAAACCCACTGAAACACAGCCTACGGTGTGTGTGTGTGTGTGTGTGTGTGTGTCTGTATGTGTGTGTGTGTGTGTGTGTGTGTGTGTGAAATCAACAGATGCACATGAACTCATGAGTTATTAGGAAAGACTTTGCATGAAATTCACATACATATGTACAATGTATACAATGTAAAGCAGTGAGTGTACAGCTTGTATAACAGTGTAAATTTGCTGTCCCCTCCAAATAACTCAACACACAAATGTCCAAATTGGGCCCAAAGTGTCAATATTATTTTCCAGCTCTGCCTTAACCCTCTTGGGTATGGAGTTCATCAGAGCTTCACAGGTTGCCACTGGAGTCCTCTTCCACTCCTCCACGCCGACATCACGGAGCTGGTGGATGTTAGAGACCTTGAGATGCTCAATAGGGTTTAGGTCTGGAGACATGCTTGGCCAATCCATCACCTTTACCCTCAGCTTCTTTAGCAAGGCAGATATTTATAAGTATTATTATTTTTTAATATTAAAATTTTTCTTTTAACATTTTGTATTTTTAATATAGTTTTTATTTTTATATTTCCATTTTAAATTATTTGTAATATTTTATATCATTTTTTAATATTTCTGTTTTTAAATATTTGTAATTTTTAATACGTCAATATAGTTTATAATTTTTGTATTTTCTGTTTTCATTTTAATTTTAGTTCAGTTTTAGCCATTTAGTTGTGTTTTTCGTTATTTATGTATTTATTTATTGTTATTTCAGTTTTATTTTTTAGTTATTTTAATATATGAAGTTAAACTAAATGAAGATGAGACGTGTTGCTTAAGCAGCTAGCTGAAATAAAATAAAAGTTAAAGTTTTCTTTTTATATTTAATTTTATTTCAGTTATTATTATTATTTTATTTCAAGTAACATTTTTTTTTATAGTTATATGTTTATTTTTGGTTAACAGTAAAATCCATGGTGGTGAATGTGTCTTAGCCTTATATTTTCTTAAATATTTTTTTGTATTTCCTTTATTTTATTTTTTGTATTTTCATTTTAATTCTAGTTTATGTATTTTTTTTATTCTGTTGTTTTTATTCATTTTTATTTCAAGTTATTTTAGTGCATCAGGTTAAACTACTGTAAAGGAAAATGAGAAATGTCGTTTTGGCAGCTATAGCTGGAATAAAATAAGTTAAATTTTTTCACATTTCATTTTATTTCATTTAACATTTATTTAATTTTCAGTTAAAAGAAAAAAAGTTCTTTAATGGTTGCCAGTTCAGTTAAAAACCCCAGTCCTGTGTGCGGTCAGTCTCAAACCACTGAAAGCATGACGAACTCTTCAACAGCGAGGCATTTATTAATGGGGAAGTCGTGGCCTAATGGTTAGAGAGTCGGACTCATTGTGGGTTCGAGTCTCATACCGGCAGGGATTGAAGGTGGGGGGAGTGAATGTATAGCGCTCTCTCCCACCTTCAATACCACGACTGAGGAGCCCTTGAGCAAGGCACCGAACCCCCAACTGCTCCCCGGGCGCCGCAGCATAAATGGCTGCCCACTGCTCCGGGTGTGTG